CTTTATTACACCCTATTATCTACCCTATTGATGAAGGTTCAAATATACCCCATGCCAAAATAATCAATAATAATCGATTAACTGCCACTGAAGAAATTCTAAATAATAAATTTAAAGACTTCACACCTGTAACCAACATGAATAATATTTTGGAGAAAATACCCGAACATATACACAAATTTGAAGCAGATGAAAAGTGGGAAAAGGGACCAGCTATGCAATTCACAGATTTACACGACGCATCCAAATCTTTATTTTAGTTTGTTTTTGCAAAACCAAGTATTAATATTATCTAGGGTTTTATTTGCTTCAGAATACAAGGTATCTATAGTTCGTTCTGATATTAAAATTGATGTATCATCAGCAAAACTTAATATTTCTGTATTAAAATTTGTTTTTATATTTAGAAGATCATTTATAAAAATTATGAATAATAAAGGGCCTAGTACTGTGCCTTGTGGCACTCCACTGGATATTTTCAAAGTGTCACTATGATGATCATTAAGTTTAACTTTTTGGGTTCTATTGCTTAGAAAGGGTTTTAATAAATACTTACATTATATTATATACTTACACTTTTAATGTTGTAATTTCAGGTACAAATATTATTTTATTGTTTTGGAAGGACTATTACTCCTTCTTACTAACACTTGTTATTTAATAATTTATGTATTAATTTTATTCTTACTAATCACAATATATAACTTATAATATGAAAAAATAATATATAATATAATATATGTAAACAATAATTATGTATGACACTAAAAATTGTAAATGTCTACACTGTAATATCAAAATTGTAAACTATTATAACAAATTGTAATCAAATGCATGTCAAATTGTAAATCAACTATTGTGATTAATTAACTTAACTATGATTGTTAAAGATTCTTAACCCTTAAAGGTTAACAATCTTTTTTTTGGTTGGGAGGTGTAATGGGATTACGCAATTCATGTAAACGCTCATAATAACAAGAACCACTTATGTTAAAGGCGGCCTCGTCGACCGCACCTACAAGTGGTCATAGCTAGAATGGACGCTCCAAACCCCTAAAACTTTCCAAGGGCGCCTACATGCCACGCGCCGCTCAATTCAAATGACGTCGCCTTCGTATATATAGAGGCCAGGGCCCCAATACACATTAGATGTACCAGAGCCGCCAAGACCGAGCGAGCCGCTTATGCACCAGCCATTACACACAACTTACACGGAGATTATCAGCTACTACAACGAGTCAACTTACGAAATTACAATTCACCACGACTATATTAATCATTATTGATTTTAATAAACTACAATTGATTTATATTTTAAATTGACTATATTTTATTGTAAAAGTGCATCAGCTTTTGGATTCCTGAAGGGCTGTACGTAACAGTATATACTCTGTACCAAATAAGAGCGCACCGGGCGGCGCACGAAAACCGGTCGAAACCCGCGCATGTCAGAGAGCGCTGCCGCAGCGTATTCCGGCGCCGGCCAGGTCAACTCTGAATACAGAGTGTTGTATATTATCACACCAATTTTAACGGTATACGCGGTTAGACCATAGAGTAATATAGAGATGCCGTTCGAAAAAAAAAGTGAAGCGGAAAAGGTGTATGTTTGCCAGTGTTGCCTATCTAGTGGAAAAAAATTATGTTGTCACAAAGTGTACGATAAAATGAAATCACATTTCGTAACTTCATTGCATTTTTTTTTACATTTTTTTTAATTTTTAAGTGTATAAATATGTGCATATTTAGCAATAATTTTTGCATAAAAATCGGGGCCCTTGTTATAATATATAATAGCTTATAATAGTTTTGCTCTTTTGGTGTACGATTGACAGTCTTGTAAAAGATACTTTTAAAAAGTATTCAAGTACAGATACAAATACTTATTTTCAATAGTATTTAAAATACGTATTTGGACACTTGGAAAAAAAAGTATTTTAAGTATAAATACGAATACTTTTAAAAAGTATTTAAATATACTTTCAAATACTTTTTTTTTTATGTTTTACCTTTTTACCTTAACCTTATAGATAAACTTAATCATTAGTAAACTGAATTAATTTTTTATTTCAGCATTCTAGTTTTACTTAAATTAATTAGAATAAGAATTCAGCACTTTTGGTACTTGGTGTATGTTGTAACTGTAAGTACCATCAAATACTATAGCTTGGACAACAATGTACCTAATGTACAACACACATCATTAGTATTTTAAAATTTACTAATTTTATAAATATGGCATAGTAGTTATTATTATTTAATATCAAGAAAAACAGCTATATTTTTTTTATTTTAATTTTGTATTTACAGTTGACACATGTATTAATCTAATAATCTATAATAAATAATTTATTGCACTTCAGTACATAGTATAACTTTTTCATAGAATACTTTTACTCAAATACTTTACAAGACAGGCGATTGATTCTGTTATTTTCACAGTGGTGTAGCATTGAATCCTGAAAATACAATAACAGTAATAGTAAATAATAAACTATAAATTCAATTATTGTCATTTAAAAATATTTAGTTTATTAAACTATATACACAATACACAAGTTATAAGTTATTAAATAAATGGGCGGAGAGACTATAGAATAATAATAAACAAAAACTAAATTATTGTCCTTTAAAAAGAGTAAGTTTATTAAACCACATCCGAACAGAAGGGGTTTCATTGTGTTTTTTTAAACTGTAATTTATTTTTATATTTATATAAGTAGAAGATATAGATTTTATTAAAAGAGTTGTATGGTCGGCTAATGGACTTCTGGTTTCAGTACTATGATTTTTTAATGATTTAAATATATTTGAATTAAATACAAAATGTTTAAGGACATCGGTTTGAACTTGTAATTTATTTACAGCTTTAGAAGTATAATCATATCTTCTCAAAATGTTTTCTGTAATGAAACAAACATCTATGACATCTTCGCTTGGAAAAATAAGTCCACCATGAATGCCTCCCTTATTTTTTAATGTTATCAACGAATTTAGAAAACATTCTTTTTCGGCAGCACACAATGCATGTTTGCAAACATCACATTTCAGTACATTGGTCAATTTATGAACTACAAATCCTGAAATATAAACAATGATTTCTTTTGAAAAATTACTAAAAGAGTATGAACTGTGACTTCCAATATAATCATGGTCCATTATAAATGCAGAAATATCTTGTTCATTTTCTTCATCAATTGGATCAAAACTGCAACCTGAAGAATTGTTATTTAAAACAGTAACTGGATCTGAACTGGAGTAGTGAAGAATATCTATCTCTTCAAGTGGTATACAATTACCAGTATTAAAACTTTGTATATCATTTGTTCTGATAACTAATTTTTGGTATGCTGAACGAAACTGCCTCACTGTTGGATTATTGTTATGCCCACCGTGGGCCCTTATACTACCGAAAAACAGTTCTACGTGATCTTGGCTTAATTTATAAATTTTTATATGTTGTAAGACATCAGTTTCCACAAACAAAGTATATAGCTGTAAAATACTATTTAAACTGACTATAAATCCAAGAAACCCAGTTTTTCGTTGTGATTCAAGTACGGGTGTAAAAACTCCTGGTCTATCTTGAATTTTAAGACCTTTAATATATGTTGTCATTTTTTCTGTGAACAATCTAACTTCTTGAATGTTTTCTTCACATAGTGCTTTTTTAAATCCTACACAGTTGATAGATTTTGAGTTTAATATGTCAAAGCCAGTATTAAAGAGTTCGATAAATTGTATGGTAGCACCTGCATTAGAAAACTCTTTTAGTTTGAGGCTATCTTTGCAAAATGTCAATGCATCTGCTACTGACTGACTAAGTAGTTGGGTTGCAAGTTTTACTTTCATCTTTTGTTTGAAATAAAGAAGATGCTGTTTTCGCAGTTTATTAGCAAGATGGCATCCTTCCTTCTCTTGCAAATAACACAATTGCCGGACATATTCAAATTTGCACTATCTTTAAAGACCTTCTTTTCACCAAAAGCATTACGAACCAATTTGATCATGTGTGCAGGATCAAAAAGGGTTACAATTTTTGGATTACTTTCAAAGCCAGAAGAAAAAGATGTATCTAATGCACTCAAAACATAATTACAACCTAAAAGTTGAGCTGCACTAATATTACTAGAACAACCATCAAATGTTAAGCTCAAGACTTTTACACCAGTGCTGTTCAATACATTTAATGCGTGGCGAACTAGTTCAACTTTCTGTGCACTTTTTAAAGCATCCACTACAAAATAACCAATTGGTAACTTCCAATTCTCATTTACCGAGACTGCCATAAAAACTAAACATTGTTTAGCTGTGTTTAAACTATCATTATCCATATAATTTCCCATATCAACCCTTCCATAATACTTAGTACCATCAAATTCCAGGTGTTGTCTTATAGCCATTTCATCCATAGACAAAGCTAATAAAATAGGATGGGGTGAATTATTTACTTTAAGAGTTAGCATCTTTAACGACTCTTCAGTAAAACCTGGTTCAGCATTGACATTTCTGTACCATTTACTAAGAGTTCTACTATGAGGCAAAATCGTGTCAAACTGCTGTCTTACATACGAATATGCTTTAGCAGAAAAAAAATGTAATGATAAAGCAAATTGACGAATGGTGGCACTATATTTCTTTGGAACTTTTTTACCTAATTTTTTTTTTGTCCAATTGGTTATCAAATCTTTATGCTTACCAAAAGTTTCAGACAGGGTATAACTGGCTTCCTCGTCAATTAAATTTTGTTTTTGAAGCTCGGAAATTATATTCTTCATAGATGAAATTCTTTTACTTTGGCGCCTTATTTTTTGCTGAAGGGTTTTCATTTTAATATTTTTGATAGTGACTTCATGTGATAGTTGGCGAAGATTTTTTTTCAATGCGATTTTGCGTGGAGTGTCATCTGGAACTATCTCGGTGTCTATGGACATTGTGGATGAGTGAAGTACATTCTAAAAAAAAAATTATAAATAAACAAATATATTGCAATTTTATGATTAATGTATGTACAATTGTATTATATTTTTTAATATTACCGAGATATTTTTATTGGGTGTGATTGTTTCACAATTCATCATTGATACAGAAGAATTGTCTAATGGTAGTACTCCTTCTTCTTCACTAGAACTTGATTGAACTGGTTCCAACAAAGATACTCCGTCTACCTCTATATTGCTCAAAGGACACTAAAAATAACAACATAAAAAATGTTGAGACTTGATAAGCAACAAATAAACATTTTAACAGAAATATAATATTAACAATGACCAAATATGGTGACTGTTAGTTTGATAGATAAATTGTATGAATTGAAGAAAATGTTACTTATACCTTTTCAAAATAATATTAATAAAACTTTAAGCAATTTTCATTTATCTGAAATTTAAATTATAAGAACTAGACCCAATTGCTTTATGTTTTATTAGTATTAGGTAGTATATTTTTGTAATTTATTCTATTCTATTGTGTATTGTAAATTATTATTAATTATGACTCACCTTTACTAAAGTTCTGGTAACATTTAAAGAAGCAATATTGTCAACTGAATCGCTAGCAGAACTAGTATAAAAAGTTTTAATTACAGGCAAGTTGGTTACAGTTTCTGAGTATTGTTGTTTAGCCTAAAATAATAAATGTAGATTAGATACCTATCCGTTATGGAGTTACTTTGTTTTGTTTTAATCTACTCAAAATGCACACTTACACATTTTATTCTGTTGATAATTTTAGTTGGAATAGCATGTTTAAGTAACAGTCTTCTATCCTTTCCCATTACAAAAAATGAATCGTCAAAATGTGCTGAACAAACTAAACTTGTCTTTGATACTTTATCAGGTAGTATGCCATTTTCTCCCAAAAAATTGTACCATTTATTCTTGTAAGTGTCTTTAAGCGGAAATCTGAAATAAATAGTCAAAGTAAAAGTCTATCATAATCACTTCTAAAAAAAAAAAAATTGAAAATAAAGATTTCATTTCACAAGATAACATACCTATGAAAAGTTATATTAGCCGATTTAGCTTTGGCATTGTTCGTTCTTCCACAAACTAGACAACTAGGCATTTTTAACTACCAGCAAAAAGAAATAAAAACAGTAAAAGCAAGTTGCAAAATAAACGACAGTAAAGAGTAATACTGAATTACTGAACGATCATACGGCATCGGGCATGGGTATAAACCACGGACTAAGATACTAACAGTAAACAAAAATAATGAAGTTAAGAATTACTCATGGCATATTAGAGGGAAACAACACACGAGATAACAAATGTATCAAAGATAACGGCATTACAGGTGAATCGTTTTACCATATATTGTACAATAATTTTTGTGTACTATCCACTTAAACTGGCAATCATATACCTTTTGCGCTTCACTTTCTTGTGCAGCTAAGATATGTAAGGCCCTCTCTATATTACTCTATGGGTTAGACGTTGTTATATTTTTTGCGCGCATTGGTGAATATTTTGAATTTGTCTTTTGTTTTATTTACACGTGTCACTGTATGCACTATGGCGAAAATTTCACCTTCAAGGCTTCAACAAAAAATCCGCATTATTACTTCAGTTCCCTATATTCACGGCGGCGAATCCGACCGACGCACAGTGGTCCGAAACCCATTTTTAGCTGGCCAAAAGTGCTATTTTTAAAAAGTAAAAAACGCTAAATGTTGGTATTTAAATATTTTTATTACAGTATTTTCAAGGCAAATTAAAAATATGAGGTCAATCACTTGATTATTAAATATGATACAACCGTTTGATTTGAAATATATAGATTTTTAACAAATATTTTCAACTTTTACGCTATGAATGGCAATCATTTTTTTTCACTGAAAATGATTTATTTAAATTTTTTTTTTTTCTAATTCACACTTATTATGTTGTTCTTAATATAATTCTGAAAGAAATTTTTTTTTTTATTATTTCTATCGACAGTAATACAAAATTTAACACAAAAACACACGTTTTCCAGTGTTTTTTCTGTTATTGAAGAATTTTACTAAAAATTACGCAATTTTACGGACTATTGAATACATACATTTTGTAGAAAAAGTTGTCAGCAATAAATTTAAAAAAAAAAATTTTGCGCCAAATTGCTTTTGTAATGTACACGTCTAATTTTCCAAAATAAATAAGTAGGTGCTCACTTTTGAAAAATAATTATTTTTTATTTTTATTTTACTTAATTGAACCACATTATTTTCTGCACAACTACAAATGTTTTAATTATATGAAACGTAAATAATTTTAATAGAAATATAACACCTATAAAAACTATTTAATCAGACAAATTAATGTCTGTTAATGATTGATTTAAATCAATCATAATATCTTCATTAGTTTCATTGGCTCCATTTGATTCTATCGGTCTTAAAAGTTTTTTAATGTCCTCTGAAAAATCTTGTGCATATTTTGGGAAAGTATTCCGCAAGGATGATATATATGGATCGGATGTAAATAATAAAGCATGCATTAAATCTTCATTTGTATTAAATCTAGAATTTTTTCTAGTATGGTGCTCTCTATACACCTTATATCCTTTATTTCGGCTTTCTTGTGCTTCTTCCGATAGTTTACCTAAAATATATTACATTTTAGTAAAATAATATTTTAACAATATTGTTCATCATACAAAATATACCTATTGGAAGAGGAGCAAATCGTATAACGGCTGCACCGTGTAATAAAACTTTGTGTACACTCGCAGGCATGTAATACCATGGGTACAGTGACACAAACATTTTTGCTGTTATTAAACAATACTCTTCAAAGTAGTCAACATTGATGGCATGTCCACTTGCCATGGCTAATAGTATGTTCCCACATCGTTGTATTAGGTCTACATTAATCCCAGTACAAGCCGCTGAAATTTCAGGTTTTCTAAAAAATTTTCGTGCTGTATTACCGTCATTTGTTGTGCCGTGACCTGTGGAAATTGAATGTTTTATAATAATTTACTCAATTTACAAATATAAGCTACCAACAAAAAATTATTTAGTGTTGACTATATACAAATAAAATGTATAGTTATTAAGGGTAATGGGTATATAAAATAAGTACATACCTTGCAATACCACATCGACTAACAGTCCCATTTCGGACCGAAATGTATTTTGTATGAATTGTTTTCTTTTGTTGAACACATCTTTATGAACCGCCTTAACCTGTTTGTATTGGTATAAAATATACAATATACATTTTTTTTTAACAAGTTTGAGATAATTAAATAGAATTAGGTTTACCTGCCATGTTTTGAACTCCAAACGATATGCTAAATGCAAAAAGTATTCAAGACGTATTTAGACGTGTACATTACAAAAGCAATTTGGCGCAAAATTTTTTTTTTTAAATTTATTGCTGACAACTTTTTCTACAAAATATATGTATTCAATAGTCCGTAAAATTGCGTAATTTTTAGTAAAATTCTTCAATAACAGAAAAAACACTGGAAAACGTGTGTTTTTGTGTTAAATTTTGTATTACTGTCGATAGAAATAATAAAAAAAAAAATTTCTTTCAGAATTATATTAAGAACAACATAATAAGTGTGAATTAGAAAAAAAAAAAATTTAAATAAATCATTTTCAGTGAAAAAAAATGATTGCCATTCATAGCGTAAAAGTTGAAAATATTTGTTAAAAATCTATATATTTCAAATCAAACGGTTGTATCATATTTAATAATCAAGTGATTGACCTCATATTTTTAATTTGCCTTGAAAATACTGTAATAAAAATATTTAAATACCAACATTTAGCGTTTTTTACTTTTTAAAAATAGCACTTTTGGCCAGCTAAAAATGGGTTTCGGACCACTGTGCGACGATCGGCGACCAATCACAGAGCGAATAGACCCGACCAGGGGGTCCAGACGTCGCTCCGCGATTTATTTGGATGCGCCAACGCGGTGCGCTCTTATTTGGTACAGAGTATAGTATACAGTACACCTATGAAGGAAGTAGGCATTATAATGTGTAACACACTGACACGCAAAAATAAATAAGCGTTTTAATGTAATAATCCTCCGAATCTTGATAATCATAAATAATATACGTTTTGTAAGCGATAAGCATTATTTGCCATTGTCTGTTTGGTATTATATTGAATTATATTGTAATGAAATTAGATACTTAAAAATCATTTATAATAAGCAACTACTAGTAAATAGGTACCCAATATTCATAAACAGTCAATTAAAACAAACCATTATTTTTCTAATATTTATATTTGATACAACATATAAATGAAATAAGTACTTAAATTAACAATATTTGTGCTTATACTTAAATCCAAAAGGTATATAATGTGTTACGTGAGAACTTATAAAACATTTCTTGCCAAATGCCAGTCTTACATTTATTTTTAATATTACCTTAAAAAAATTAAATAACATACAAATCTAATTTTTTTTTACAAATTATTAAATAATATTAATTTAGTGAATTTTTGCCTCAGTGAAGATTTATTTTTAAATACTTCCCTAGAATTAATTTCTTTTGCATAATGACGCATTCTTATTTTGATATAACTATTACTTATAGCTGTAAATAGACTATATTCATGAGATGGAGAACCTAAATCAACATTAACAGGGTGAGAATTTGGGAAAAAAAAGTGAATTTTTATTTGATATATTTTTTTTTGTTAACATCATGATACTTTGTTTCACATTCTTGTGTAATATTTTTTTTATTACAACTATAGTGTGAAAAGATTTTTCTAATTCCTTGTTGATCAAAGATACAGCCTCAGATACAATTTTTAATTTTCCTCGACTTACAAAAGATGTAAATTGAATACCTACTATATAGTTATGATCTGATTGAAAACTTAATAATATACCTACACAGAAAGGACACACAAGTTTTTTGCATATGCTTCTTACAATATATCCTGCAATGTAATCTAGTATTTCACCTGTTTACTCTCCTAACTGTACACTATTAAGAATATCTAAATAATTATTAATATCAGATTCAAATATATTTCCACTGTCTTCAGTTATAAAGCTTCTTTTTTCACAACGGAAATCTAAAACATCCCCTCCAGGAATAACAAAATGAGAGCAATTTCCGTTTTCCACAGTAATATTTTTGGTAAATAGTAATTGCCTTAAACTTTTTTTGAATTGGACACAATTTGGGTTATTGTTAGACCCCCTCTCGCTCTTACACAACCAACAAAATTTCAAAGTGATCCTGTGACATTTTGTATGTCAAGATAAATTTAAGGGGACTTTGAGATCTATATAGAAGTTTATAAGCAATTTGTATAGTAGAAGACATTGTAACAATAAATCCTAATATGAACTAATATGAACTCTAATAAAATTGCGCTTACACAATAACGGTGGTTGAATTTTGCGTATTATGTCGCTTCATTCGTAGTCAATACAGTCTTTTTTGGACGGCCACCTCCGTTGTTTTCACAACTTCTTCATACAATCTACTTTCGCGCCTTTACCGAAAATCGATATAATACGACCAGGAAAGTTTTTGTTTTCAAATTGTACAATTACAAAATCACCAACGTTCTAATTCGAAGCTTGTTGTTCTTCCTCTGCTTCGGCGACAGCTTGATCGAGATTATCAATATCCTCGCTGTCACTATCAAGATCAACATCAACATCATCACTGTCACTTAAAGGAACACACAACACAAATAAAAAAATTCTTTAAATTTTTTTTAAATGTTAAATTATTGTAGTTATGGTTATATGAAATGATTTTGTGAAGATACGATGTAAAAAAAAAATATTACTTTAAGAGATATTAAGAGATGTAGAATAGCCGCGAGACGTCACTGGGCCGGAGTCATCGTAATTGCTTATCTTATACGTGTAAAAGTTCCTTGCTTCACACAACGATTTATCAACCTAAACATTTTCTTTTTAAAATTTAATTGACTTATAAATGTGTGGTTTTATGTGTTTAAGACGATGCAAGAATCAGAATTTCAATATGACGTTTAGTTTTTTAAGTATTAAAAATCTTAAGACAGTCATTTTGGTTAAACGGCACGTCATGGCAAGCGTGCCGTCGTGGCCGTAGTCCGAACATAA